TTTTTTTTTTTTTTTTTTTTAAATCGAGAGGCAACAGAAACCTTGAGACAGCTCAGAGATCCAGACAGGAGAGCGATCAATGAGCTCCCTCTTGTGGCTGAAGCACCCAACTTGTCTTTTTAATAACATCTGTAATATGGTGCATTAAATCTGGACTCTCTCTGGCATTGCCCTCTTCATCTTAATTGTTTCAATGCTTAAATGTCCTTTTTATATCCGTCTGTCTCTTCTCATCTACAGCTTCTCTTGTAGGATCAGTACACACAATGACCGTTAACTGACCTCAACAGTTTGCTTCTTACATTTGTACCCTCAGTGCAGTTGACTTATATGTAGTGATTTAAAGTCACTTTGAAACTAATGCATTCTCAATATTTTGCATATTTCCTGCAGTTTATCCCACATTGACAGACTCTCATGCTGCTTTCTTAACACTTTAAGAAATGTTAATCTTGTGCGTTTAAGTACTAATGATGAACCGGATATTTACGAGCTTGCTTCAAGCTCAAGTGTTCACCCAAGAACAAGACCTACTCTGCGTTCCAATGCCCGTACTACCATACTATTTAGTACGCCCAAATGTCAAAAACACCAGGTTGTTCTACTACATCCAGTCTCACATTGCGGTATACAAGCCAGCATGCTTTTCTGGCTATTCCGACCCACAATCCTTTGCGCAGGATATATATGAGCAAGAGGGTCACAGTTCAAGGTGCCATGTTATAAGGAAGTAATCCTTCCCAACTAAATGCATATTGCATGCAACAGTACGTCCTTTGTAAAGGCAGCTGCAGTACGTACTAAAAGTAAAAAGAAAAAGTACGTGATTTGGAACACAGCTCTAGTTTTGACTGAAGTCTCTCAGGGGGGGAGGGGGGAGAGAGAGACCTGTCCGGAAAGGAAATGTGTATTAAATTAAAACGTCAGAACAAACAGCCACAAACCACCTCTGGCACAAAGGAAAGAATGTATTGACTGTGTCAAGTGAAGCAGTTGGTTTTCTGTTTTAAAAGAGTACAGGAGGTAAAAGTCAACAAAATACTTGCATCCAGTTTCATTTACCAGAAGTTGACTTTATTGAAAGAGGCATGCCTTTAGATCTTGGACAGAAAACTGAGGCCGAATGATGTAAGAAAGGTTGAATCTTTGGAATAAAAACCCACTGAGACAGAAACTGGTCTATAATCTTGGTCATAATACCCGTCTTCATGCCACAATGCTGCTAAAGCAGATATCGTTATGCTGTGCTGAATGAATCTGTGCTGGTTGAGGTGTCTGCAGCAACGCCGTAGTGTGAAAAACGCTGAGCGCTCAGCAACATTCTTTTACCAGAGAGAACTACTTATTTACCCACTCTGAAAAATGTCTGTGATTGATACAAATATACAATTCCAAACCATTGTTGTACAAACAATACGAGTACACAAAAGACCCCACTGCATGATCTATTGCAAGTAGACACTGAATGGATTTAAATAGGAACAAAAACACACAATCCAGATTTAAGACTGAAGATAAACACAATTCTTTGTCTTATTAGCTGGACATACGAGATGATGATCAACAGTGTCATTTTATAAGTTTTCATACTTTGTTAGATTTTGTCGAAGCAGTCCATTATTGCAGTAATGATGAAGCTCTGAATAAACGGTTCTAATCATTTCCAACGTATTTTTTCTACATAGAACTCTATTTCCCAGGTACATGTACACATTATATTGACTGTATCTTTATATCAAGTTGTGAATGGATGGTGTTGGATTTTTTTTTTTTTTACTCCTAGAAAATTCGTTTGAAACAAAGACCGTTTTTGAAAGCGGTGTCTTCTGTGGAGGAATAATGGTACGGAACAAAATATGTTGAACGTCACACTTTCCTTTACCCTTATATAATGTAATAATCCACCCCTGTGTATATCCATTCGCAATCAGGCAATAATGTGAACGAAAATCATAATTTAGGCACTAATTATGAAGTACTTCTGTCCTGGTAAATTAATTTAGACAGCAGAGGCATGATCTATAACAAAATATATCTCTTGTAATATCTCAATTCAACAACCATGTGAAATACCTGGACTAAAATAAAGGCGATGCCCAACAGTTAACCGTTACAATGCGAGATGTTTTCCAACAGATGCAAAACTACGACTCTCCTAGCGGTGATATGAGACTTATCACAACTATTAAACCCTAAACAATCCCGAAATAGAACATGACAAACCGTAACTAGCCTTTAGCTTAACCACGTGAAAAAAATATATGGCGATAGAAACTCTTAAATACCCCTTCCCATTCTGAAAATATCTAATTATACCCAAAATATCCTTGATTTGCATAGTGTCCTGTGTCATTAGAACTTTTTTTTCTTACAATATATACACATCATAAAGCGTCACTAAATTAAGGCAAATTAAATAAAGCATGAACAATTCTGGTTTTTGGAGGTCAGGTCTGGAGAAGATGTGGAGCCCATTGATGTGAGAATCTAGTGCATTGTAGAAAAACCGCTTCACCCAAAGGCTTCCTAGAGAACGTGCATTAAAAAGACTCCTGAGGTACCGCAGTGACTTAACAGAAAAACACCAAAACAAATGTACATCTAACACACAAAGATATGTGGAAACACCAAAGTTCAAAGACAAAAGTGACCCACCTGTTTTGCCCAAAAGAAAGTTGTCATGCAGCAGTTTGCATAAGAAGTTTGGATGTGTGACGATGTCGGCCTTGCTGCCGGTCGGCTCCGACAGTTAATCTTCAAATTACATTTTAATGCTGTTATTCAAAGGCTCGCCCTGAACGGGGGCAGAGGCAAATATGGTGTGTAATCCTACGGCGAAGAGGCAGCAACCCTCTGAAAAGCCACCTGAGTATTTAACAGAACCACACTGAGCAGCGACATTCAGAAGTTCAGATAAGTGGCTGATGATTGCTTCAAAAAATGCTGTTTTTTGCTCAAATCTTTTCTCTACAGTCTTTGGTTGGTGGACCTGGAGCTCGCTCTTAGGAGCATTATCGGCTGGTGCAGGCTTCAGCTAACAGCTCAAAGTTCACCCCTCCTTCTTGGCTGCCAAACAGAACTTTACAGAACTAGAAAAACTAATTGATTTTCTTTGATTAGGAAGAAATGTGCTATGATTTTTTGAAATAGTTGTATAAAACTAGGATTCGAGAGGTTTCTTCATCAAGTAGTGCCTGAAAAAGACCAGAAAACCATTGCTTTAAGTCTTATGTCTTTCAGAGTTAAACTGGACTCTACTGGGACACGATCACTCTTCCATAGGAATGTATGATAAGATTGAGTGCTCTTGTGCGATAGCAGCCAGTTCTTTGAGGAACTCCGTGAAGAGGACGGTGGCGAAGACTTCTGTCCGATCCAGAGAGATGGCTTTGGGTTTCGGTGGCGGCGAGCTCTTCGACATCCTTCCCGCCTCGCCGTGGGTGGAGCTTCTGCTTTTGTCTGAGAACATGAAGACTTAATGAGTAACAATGACAAAATGAAAACAAATCACGTATGAGCAGGAATACACTCTGTGCCATGCATGAGCTGGAACTGAAGACATTTTGTAAACATAATATATTCCTGTTAAGGATTTCTCCATTTATAAATAATTGCTTTTGTACAAGAAAGGAGAGTACCCCTGGTGACCTACTGAGACATTTTCTTCATAGAAAATTCTGGCTCTTATCTTTCTGCAAACATACTTCCAACAAGTTTTTTTTTTTTTGTAGCTTATACAACTCTCAAACCGCGGTGAACCTAGTTCAAAAACAGGCCTGACGCTCCAGGGTTGAGCTGAGACTGTTGCTCAACTGCAGCATCACTGAAGAAAATCAAGTAGAATTTATTATGGTTCCCAACAGACACGGCCGATAATGAATGCAGATGCTGTTGTGAACTTGACCCATTTTGTAACGGCACATTTTTTGACATCGAGGAACTCAACAACAGTGCAGTTTATATTCTTGTCATCGAAAACCAATAAAAACAATGCTCAAGCTATTACGTTTCATCCCGAGCCAACTGTCGTACTGAAAATACATTATGAAATTGATGGCTGGGGGTCGAATTACACTATTGTTCACGGTTTACTATAATGTATAAACAAAAAAGTCAAATAGATAAGAAAATGTGTGTAATTATTATTAGTGATGATAAAGATAAAGATTGATTGTTGTGAGGTCACAGTGACCTTTGACACTGAAATTCCATCAAGGTGTTCCTGAGATACTGCGTTGACGATTATGGACCAGCCGGCCCCTCTAATGTTCACTGATTCAAATATTATATATTGTTTGTTACATCCGTACAAACTATTCCTTTAAATGTTGGAGTAAAACCTGCTTGGATTTCAAGTCTGAATTTAAAATGAATGTTTTGAATACTTTTCACACATAACTCATACTGTTATAGATCTATGTGAGAACACAGATTCCAGCCATAACTGGTGTAGACACAAAAATTCCAGATGTGGTTGCGTCTGTCGTCACCTGCAGCTATGAAGGAAGACTCCCTGGCCAGCAGCCAGTGTTGGGCGGCAGTGATCAGCTCCGGAAAGTCTTTTCTGGTGGCAGCCTGCTCTTCTATCTGGTTCTTCACGATGGCCAGGACCTGAAGGGAAACGCAGCAAAGAAACGGAGGATTACTGTGCATTCACATCTGCAGTGTTTGCACTGATGTAGTTAAAGCTAGATTTAAGTTGGGTTGTGGTATTTTAGAAAAGATAGTTGTTTTATTCTCTTTACATCCCGATTTCAATCAATGAATCAAATGAGCTGACAAAATAAACCGATAAGGAATGCACCCTGCCTCTACATTCATTGTGCGTCACAGGAGCCTTCTACAAGCTGCTAGCTTGACAGCTGTTCGTTGTTTACGCTTACAATGATCATTTTGGGCGAGAGGCCTGAAGGGAGGGGCTGTCAGAGTTGCCAACTTGGCGACTTTCTCAGTAGATTTAGTGACTTCATGAGCTGGTGCTGCTCGTTCCTTTCATTGGAAGAGTTGGCAACACTGGGAGGGGTTTTTCGGTTGGATACTTTTAGTAATTCAGTGTACTCTTGCTGGTTTCTCCAATGTTACCGACCCAAGCTTTAATAAAACCAAGCAGCCTGACTGTATTGATAAAGGATCTCTTGTTCAGCAGGGAGAAAAAGAGGAAGCTGTCTTTACTTTATTTTACTCAAGAGCAGCTACAGAACTGCGCTCAGATGACAAACTTTAAATCTCACTTTTGAAAGGTGAACTGTAAGTTTCAACATCTTTCAGCGATGCAGCCAAACCCAAATCATTTGTGTTCCTTGTCTTCATTCTGTCGACTTGATGGTACACACGCCTCAAGGGAAGGAAGGGAAAGAAAAGCCTCACTCCTGCGCACGCGCGCACACACACACACACACACACAGCACACACACACACACACACACACCATCTGTTTTACCTGGTAGAGGGAGCGGACGGTCGGCTGAAAGACCAAGCTGGTGTTGAGAAGGAAGGAGCGCAACAGGGGCTGAGGGTAGGCCGCCAACTGGGCCAGGATGCCCGTCAACAACAAGTTGACGTGAAGCGAGTTACTCTGCATGTTCTCCAGACGAGACATCAGCACACTGACAAATGGACCTGCAGGAAGAATAGTCATAAACAGCATGTTAATATGCGGTTTCGGTGAGTAATGACGCTGCCGCAAAGAAGTGAAGATTTCCCTTACACTTACCGGTGAAAGGCGCCGACTGCTTTCTTCCGCCACTTCCGCTGACAAACTTGGCCCCAAAGGGTGAATGCAGTTTCTCTGGCTCTGGTGTCTCAGCAGAGAAGGAGGTGAAATCCATCTCCTCCTCCTCCTCCTCCTCCTCTGCAGGCGTGACGGGCTTCTTCATCTCTCCATCAGGCTTGAGCTGTTTTCCACCTGCTTTAGTGTCCAACGTACGGATGAGCTCCTCATACTGAGCCAAAAGGTCATCACCCGACTTGGCAGCTGTGGTGTTTTGGAGGTGGGAATTACAATCTGTCTGACCTTTGGCCTTTGTGTCCAAGGTATTTTTATCAGCCATCACAGAGGTTGGAAGTGTTAAACTGAGTCCGTTTTTTAGGGGAACTTCTGCGGATCCCGGTTGGGTTTTCGATTCAGACCCGCTGGATTTGAGCTTACTGCTTTCAGTATCTCTGGTGTCTTTCTTGGCTACGAGATCGTATACCATGCCGTCGTCCTGGAACTCGTTTTCCTCAATATATGAACCTTGTACAAGCATGACGGCTGTTTTCCTCATCTCCTGGATGTGCTTTGGGGGCTCCGCAGGAGGCCGCTGTAGCCGTTTAGTCTCCACAGGAGCCTCAGCGGTCTGCACCGGGCACGCGTCGTAGCTATCGTCCCACTCCAGCTCCAGCTGGGTGATGGAGGGCAGCTCTGTATTCGGCGGAGGGCGGGGCCGAGGTGCTAGCGGCTGCGGAACGCGCTTGAAAGCCATCTGGGTTTGCCTACTCTTCAGCCCCAGCTCCTCGAGGACGCCAGGCTGGTATTTCTCAGGAGGGGGGTCCTCGCCGTCGTACCGGGCTGACCAAACCTGGCAGGCCTGAATGCAGCTGCTGATGCTCAGGCGGGCGTCGTAGAGGTAATGAAGATAACTGACATCCAGGTAGATTTCTGAGCCGATGGTGCAGGAGTTACCGGAGCCATCGTCATCCTCTAAGAAGCTCTCCCTTTCCTCTGGAGGAGAAAGAACAGATAGGAAATGTTGATAAAAGCTGACGTGCAGCGCCTCAGCGCAGCGTTCATGCGGAGCAGAACTAATGAGTTTGACAAGTAGCTACAGGGGGTAAAGTGATGTAATACAGCGAAACAGCAGGAGATCTCACTATTTGATGGAATACTCATAAACACTCATAAAATCCCTGTTATATGTCCCAGATAAATGTGCATCAACACCTTGCACTGTACTCAAAACCATGTTTGCACCGATTTAGTAAATGTAACTTTTTATTATTATTGGGTTTTAGCACACTTACTGTGAATGACTTTCTATTTTCCTCCCGTCCGTCTCTTCTGTTTGTTTACTATTACTGAGGTTATAACATGCACTCACTCAAATAGGGTTATGAATAGTAGAATCTGCTGGACGAATTCGCTTTGCAGCGGATTTGAAAGGAACGAAAACAAAGAAAACATTTGTAAAAGAACATTGTGATCTTCTTTTACAAATGTTTTCTTTGTGAAAATGAATGACTGCTTTTTCTTTGAAACGCAGCCATTCATTTTGGCTTTTCTATAGCACATCCAGTACATTAAGAAATCGAAAGTATTAAGTAGTGTATTCACAGCTGATAGCAGAGTGAATACCTTTTCAAGGCCTTAAAAAGGGTTGAAGGGCAATACACTATGTCGCCCTGCTTCCCTTTGTAATTCAGCTAATGATTAGCTTTTTTTCGTGATTTTTTTACTGCTTAAAAGGATCCTTCTAGTGTCTTACAACTTGGGTCTTCTCTTTGTAGTTTTTGATTCCCCGTACATTGTTTCGACAAACCAGTTGGCTTATTTACAATCTGCATTATCTTGTCTTATTGGACAGCAATGTCTCCATGTTCGGAGATCTAAGCAGTTAATTTGAGCACAATCTTATAATAACCCATTGAAATTATTAAAATAGCAAAAATGAGATCGAAGCTGTAATAAACCAGACAAAAAAAAAGTGTCTTTTAACATGTCGTACTTCTTACCCGTGGCGCTGGTGTTGTTGGGAGTCTCTGCACCTTTGGAAAAGAGGATGGAGTCCAGCTGTCGGAGAGGAGGGGGGCTGTGATCGGGGGAGCAGCAGGACGGCGTTAATGCCAGGATCTTGGCTGCTGACACAGAGTAGCAGTCCCTCTCCCCAACAACACGCCTCTGACTCAACATCATGTGATTACAGGGGATCAGGTACCTGGGGAGGCAAAAGGGAACGGATCCCGTTAGTAAACCAGCGTGAGCACGAAACACAAATCTGCATGGTGGGAGGTAGCAATGTAAAAGCTCATCGTCTCGTAACCAATTAGACGTATCCTGCTTCGTATCCTGCTTTCATAACAAGTCTGCGTGTGTGCCACTCACCTCAATATGAGCTGCAGCATCACATCTTCACAGTATAAGCCAATGAGTGTGCGGAAAAGCGCCAGGGACACAGTGCCCAACTGCAGAGTTAAAGCACATGACAACTGAGGATTTTTACACCACTGCTGAAACTCTGTCGGTTAGTCAAGAAACAGAAATTCATTGTAATGATTAGCCTAGAGAAGGTCGAGGATTGAGAGATTTTTGTAAAATATATATATATTTTTTTCTACAACAACATGACTACTTGATAAGTTATTAAACTTCAAAGGTAAAAGCAAACAGGCAAATAGCTGAAATGTGGAATATTTGCATGTTAGTCAATGTTTAATTTGGCTCAAGGTATGTTGGTTTATTTTTTTGAATTGTGCAAAATAAATAAACTAACTATCATTTTTCACCGAGTTGCAGGTGTGCCGAAGCCGACTGTTGGCAAACACTGGAGGAAACTCCCCGAGACATTTACACAGCCGAATGTCAATGTAAAGAAACCATTACTTATTCATGTTCATGATTTGAACAAGGCGTCTCAAAATAGAAGTCCGTTTTAAAACACAAATATCAACTGTTTAACTAACGGGATGATGTCACTGCAACTGAGCATCACCATGGCAACATTTCGCCAGCTTTGGTGCTGACATTTAAAATTTCAACAAGGGTCCAAAAGTGCCTCTGGGGTTGTTTTCCTGGAGTTATTAAACATGAGTCATGCTGTTTTTGAGTGTGATGCATGTCTGTCTGTGTGAGTGTGTGTGTGTGTCTTTTTAAGACTAAACATGTACAGAGGTGTTGTTGGCAGTTCGCTGGGTTCGCTCTGTACCTGGAAAGGCGTGTTGATGCGGCTGACTAGAGTATCTAAAATGTGGACGCTCTCATGTTGGTACACGAGGATGAAGGAGAGGAAAGTCTGCAGCAGCGCCGGCTCAGACACAGCCCTCAAGAAGAGGTCGAGGTATGCTGTGGTGGTCATCACCTCTTCCAGGGTCAACTTCACAGAGGACGAAATCATCAGTCAGTCAGTTAGAATGTGTGTTAGTGCAAATAAAATATTTTGCATACTGTAATTCTTGAGGTCTGCACGGATAAAAGCAAACGGAACGATTGTAAGTGATGTTCCGAGAAGGAAGAAGAGTACAACCTTGTGGAGAGCGGGTGCTAGGACAGGCACGAGGAATCCGTTGTAGATGTAGCTAACCAGCTGGTCTCTGATATCCGGGTGGGCCACCTGGGAACAGTCACACATCAAGTCAAGAGTGCAGTCAAGCAGAAGGTTGCAGCCATTTAACCGCGTGTGAATAACCCCTGTAACCGCGTAAATGTTTCACGTGGCAGAGAGCTTTGTGTGCGAGTGTGTGTGCAGCCTCGTCAGTTGCCACACGTTTTCACCTGAATTACAACGTTGCAGAACTCCAGCGAGTTGAGAAACTGAACGAGGGACGGCATTTGGAGCCAGTCCTCTTTGTGCAGGCAGTGCCAGTCCGCACTGGGAACCTCCAGCTTCGTGGGCAGAGACGAGTACAGGCCGCTCAGCCCTGTGGCCAGAACCTGAGGAGAGAGAGAGACAAGTCAACATCAAATAAAATGTTACCGTATTCTAGATACAGTCAATAGCTGATTTGGGTTTTCACTAATCCTGTAAAATGTGTTGACTTTGGTGATCCTCGGACTTTTCCTCTCGTGCCACCGGTTTTGAGTGAAACATTCTTGACAGCTATTGGATGGATTGCCATGCAATTTAAAAGATGGGTCACCACAGGATGATTTGCTATAACTTAGATTTTTGACTTTATATTTTAGCATCATCATCATCAAGACAAGATGGCATTTTTGGTTTATGACTAAATACCTGCTAAACTAAGAACTAACAACATTCCTTTCGTGAACGGGTAAATATTACAGCTGCTAAACATCAGCATGTCAGCATTGTCATTATGAACGTGTTATAAACTGTAATACTACATCGTGAAAAATATTTTACCTGTACTTTACTGTAGAAAAAAAACACTGCCACAAAGCATCATGTGATATATCATCATCATGCGAGTCTAATGAAAAATAATTTGACACAAAGTGATAACAGAGAGAATATTATGGAATTCATTAAACATTAATGAGGCAGTGTTTGGCACAAACAACATATCTTTGGCTGGCAGTTTTACTTTCGGCTTCACACAACAGATTTATAAATGTTTTACTGCTCACTGCAATTCAAAATACTTTTGTAAATCATTTCTTCTTTTCCATTTTGATAATGTAATGCAGCTGTAAACACAGCACTGCAGCAGCCTTCAGTGCATATCAGCCAGCCAGCTCCTCCTCAAACAGCATATATATGGATTCATACCTCCTACAGGTCAGCTCTATAAATATATTTGAGCAGCGGTTACATTTTATCGCCTATAATTACCTTTTATAATCATCATGATGTGATAATTAGGTCACTAATTAATTCCGTAATGTCAGCAGGCTTTCCATGTAACAAATGGTCAGTATTAACAGGACTTCTGTCTTTTCTTAGAGGTGTAATTTCAAGTATTTACAGGATTTTAAAAAACAACAGTCTATGGCAGAGTAATTACACTGTAAAATGATGCATCATTAGTGTTGCATTGATGTATACATCCTCTATAGGATTATCCTTGTCGCCTGCCAGCGGAACCAATTAAATTCAGTCATCACTTGTTAAACTGGCATCACATCAAAAGCAATTTCTCATTGCGATGTCTGCAGCCGTGGGTAAATGGCATTATTGACGTGGGATTATCTTGCAACCGTGCCTTAATCTTATGAATGCCAGACATTTGTAACACTCAATGAGATGGTTTAACCTTGCTTCAAGTGGCGACATGAATTCATCTGCATATTTTTTTGCCTGATTAGGACGCCGAAGGGTCACTGGAGTCTTCACTTTTCCTCATACATAAAGGTTGAGTTAATTAGGAAAATCTAAAAACAGAGGGGCTCAGTCTGAGGAGATTCACATGTACTAAAATCCACCAGGTGAATGACAGCAAGAAGAAAAGGTAAAGGTCATTTGTCAGAGGGACTAACCGGACAGAAGTAAGTATTCTCTGCGATGTGTTTGGCCACTCGCTCGTTCTCAGCAGACAACGACATGATGAGCAGCAGTGCATCTCTGGCTTGCTGGCCCACTGTGCCCTCCCTGTGGATGAAGGGGATGAGCAGAGAGAAGATGAGGAAGTTGGTGGATCCCTGGTCCTTGCTGGTGTGGAAAAACAGCTCCAGGATTGAGGGGTCCTTCGCCAGAACGTAGCACAGCTGGTTGAGCAGCAACACCAGCTCGGCTTCGACCTGTGGCGCCGCCGTGCCCGAGCAGGACGACAGCAGCATCATGAGAGGCCGCAGGATGGGCTTGTGATGCAGCAGGGGCTGGCGCGCCTGGCCCACCAGCATCTCATACATCTTCAGCTGCTCCAGCTTCATGTCGTCGGTGAACTCCCGGCGGAGGCTCCACACGAAGAGACGCTCCATCACGTTCTCCATCACCACAAACTCCAGGATGGGGCCCATGGCACCGACCTGACCGCTCTCTTCCTCCATCAGCAGGAGCAGCATGTGCTCCACATAGTTCTGCACCGCGCTCGCCTCGTCTCCGGGGATGGTGCCGAAACGAGGGCCGCCACTTGAGCCGCCGCCGAGGTTGATGACACCGAGGGAGGGCAGGGTGGAGCTGCTGCGCAGGGGATCATGCTTTTCTAGGATCTTCACCACCTATAATAAGAGAGAAGAGGAATGTTACTCAACTGAACACATTGTAACCCCATATCATTTGATTTTCATGCAAGAACAGCTTTGCAGCAAACTTTGCAAAGAATACGCTATTATGCTTTGGATATCATAAAGGCATTCAATTAGAAAGAAACAAAGCCATAGCTTGTAGAATTTGATTGTTTTTTTAAAAAGCGCTAAGAGATGAGGACGTTTTTCGTGGAAGGTTTTAAATTTTAAAAAAAACAAGTTTTGCAAAAAAAAAAAAATCAATAAATTCACGCAATGATGAGGCCTTTGTGAAAGACACATTTACCAGGTTTCCGTGGGTCAATGTTTTTTGTGGTGGTCGACTCTCGGATTGGAGACGTGTGCTAAAGTGACACTTTAGACACTTTTTTTACAGTCTGTATGACTGCATATGAATGCTCCATCTGATCAGCCTATACCAGGGGTGTCCAAACTTTTTTCAAAGAGGGCCAGATTTGATAATGTGAAAATGCCCAAGGGCCAACAGTCCCTGCTGACATTATTTTATTAAACAATACAAGTAGCCTATACATACATTGTTATTTAATCATTTTATTTTCAATGACAGCAAATAGCAATGTAACCAAATATAAGCAGCTATAATCACTATTTTAAAGTGATTAGTGACTCGTCTAAAACATTTAAAAAAGGAATAACTTCAATAGAATCATTCTGATACAACGTAGCTTCTTTACATTCTATTAGAATGTAAAGAAGCTACAGTGTTGCCTTTTCTTCCCACAAGAACGTAATTTTGTCAGGTTGATAAAAAAATGTCACTTTACTTCCTGACATTGTTACTTTACCGCAGGGGTGTCAGATAACACAAAGAACAAGCAATCTAAAAGCTAATTACATAGAAACCGACCAATATTCTCACCTCAAGACAATCTTAAATATGACTTAGTGATGGTAACGAAAAGTTGTCTCACATTTAAATTCAACACACATGAAACAGGCTAACGAAAAAAACTCGGTCTTCTTCTCGAGGCAATTATGTTTTCCGCTATTTGCATAACACGGTCTTTGATAAACTCACCTTCCGTAAAAGGTTCGTCATGTTTAGCAGTTAGCATGGCCACTTGGTAGCTTACTTTGATGATGTTTTCATTTGAAAAGGACCGCTGCTCTGTGGCCAAGTTATCGTGGAGTTGCTTCACTTTTCTAGCACGGTCGCTCTGATAGCTTGTTGTAGCATTAGCATGTTTGGTCTCGTAGTGTCTCTTTACATTATATTCCTTAAACAAGGCAACAGTCTCATGACAATTTAGGCAGACACAGTTGTTTCGGTTTTCGGTGCAAAAAATATTGCGATCTCCACTTCTCCTGGAAGCGGCGGCCCTCATTATCGACTTTCCTTTTTTTACCTGCCGTAGCCATGACAGTTCAAGGGTCAGAGCCAATTTCAAACAGCCAGACAGTTACAGAGTGGTGCTGCCACCATGAGGTAAAAAGAGGAATTGCATGTTGAATTTGTATGATTTATTCATTCCGTTTTGACTGTGCTGGCGGGCCATAAATAATGCATTTTAAGACAGAAGGTGCGGGCCATATACAATCTGACCTCGGGCCGGACTTTGGACATGCCTGGCCTATACATTTTCAACTGTATTTTGAATTTTTGAAAAGAAGAAATGAATTCAAAATGATATTACGAAGTTCAGTTTGGAAGGGGACCCATCTTTATTGGTGGGCCACCCAAATGAATTCTACACATGAGAAACACTGCTGGTGACTGATGGCCACCATTTTGGAGAACACAAAGTGAGGATTGACAGAAACTCAAATCAACGAAATCCAAGAAAGAAGCAAATTGATCGCTGGGCTTTAAAAATGGCAAAATGCACAGAATCAGTTTCCATTTATGTTGACAAAGACGATCTTCAGCATTACCACTCAAATAATGTAAAGTATACGTGCTATACTATGGACACTTGACATATGGTACAAGTCAGTGTTTTCTTTTTATAGCAGTTTTAATCTTGTTTGTATAGACAGTGCTTGTACAGCATGTTTAATTAATACAGGTTTGTTAAAGGTAAAACCACTGCCTTCTTCCCGACAGGTTAATCATCAACAATAATGGGGTGTAAACAGACCAGCAGCACAGTACAGATAAACTCAGTTTGGTAGCACACCGTGAAACAGTCCGTTGTGTATCCAGTCCCTCCCTTGTGTGTTGGCTGCGTGGAAACCAGAGTCACAATAATGGAGCCAGTGTCCCCGGCCTGACACTGCTGCCATGACAATAACTGGTTGTGCACAAGAGGGCTGAGCATGGCTGATGGAAACAAGAGAACAGAGTTTGTACAGCCCTTTGGGGCCCGTGGCCCAGTGGGATCAGTCCAGTTCAAGCTCTCTGACAATATATATATATATATATACATATATACACACACACACACACACACACACACACACACATATACACACACACACACACACACGCATATATGTCAGATTATTACTGACACTTTCAAGGTCAGTTGCAGACAAGGATAAAGGTGCACACAAGCTTGGGAGAATTTTGATTGCCTCTCGCAGGCTCTCAACATTGTGATGCCTGAGCTGGTAGCACATCGCTAACGGCGCTAACAGTGCAAACTACAGTGACAGTGCTGGCAGAGCTAACAGTGTTTAAGTGAGGGGGAACCGGAGGGTGGGAGCTACACTTACGTGATTAAGCTGTCGGTCAGAGCTTTAATATAGCAACAAACAACTATTTGACGTCACAGCCGGCGCCATGTAGAGCTGTTGAGAGGCAATAGATTTACTCTGAATTCAGTATAGAGAACCTTAAAGGTTGGTTGACCTATGAGGCCTAGAATATGTGTATTATAAGCAAAGTAGCTGTTAGCAAGCACTCATTTTTGGTTACTTGGGCCAGAATAGTATCTCTAGTTCAGGGATCTGAAAGTGTTAGAATTAAGCACTTTGTTTCAGATTTAATCATCACAAGCCACAACTGGCAGTATCAATCTAAATAGGGAAATTGAAAGTGCAGTATTTGCCACATCCTCATTACCAGAAGTGTGGTGCCCTTGAGCAAGGCCCTTTCCGCTCAAGTGGAGCCTTTCAGACTGGTACTGGGGAGTTTCCAGGTGTAAATCTGTTAAACTCTTCCGAGTACGTCTTCAGTGAAACTTCCCAGAATAATTATAGGTTATAAAAACACACTTACTGAAGTGAGAGCTCAGTTTTGATCTGTCAGGAAAATTACAAAAATACCATAATGTGTGTCATCCGTTTAACCCTAACCTGTACTTTAAAATACACTGATATATAGAATTTAGCATTTAAAAAGAAAAACACTTTGTCATCACTCTTAAATTTGCTGATGCAGGTGTCTTTCCTTAAAGCTATTGGAGTTTTATCATGAGTCAGCTTATACAGTACAGGCCCACATGAGTGTTTTGATGCATAGCTTGTGAATTATTAACACAATATGCAGCGTCAGATTCCGTCAATTCCGGAATCTGGTAATTCCGGCTCTGAATTACCAATTTTAAAAAAGGTGTTAACATTGCAAAAATAATCCCAAATATTATTCTGAGAATTGGGATGAAAAGATTGAATAAAAAACAAAATATGTTTTTAACTTTTATCATGCTTAATATATGTGCTTTTATTCCATTTGACAGAAGCCCAAACAGGAAATGAAACCACCAGAAAGCAAATTCACCTGAGGGGCGGGAGCTTCGACAAGTCTAATTTAACTGAACTCTGACATCTGAAGATGTTCTTAAATGTACACTGGATGGGGGTGTTTCCACATGGAACTGTCCACGCCACTAAACAGAAACGCATTCATAAAATGTGGAATGTAAACCTGTAATGTAAGGAGTCAGGGCAGGATGTTCCTCGTCACTCCGGCTCTTCACTGTCATAAGAGATTGTTGGCAGCCACAGCAACGGAACGATCACTTTGCATGTCACAACAAACACAATGAGCTCAGTGAGGCCTGGAGAGCGGCAGATAAGACACAGCAAATGAACATAAACCTAATCTGCCAATGAAACAGTCAGAGCTTCTTACAGAGGGACAAGGCCAATACTACTTACGACATCTTACTCGCATTTCAAGGTTTTCCGAACTGAAACCAAAGTCAAGAGCACTCTTATCGCTCGACAGATAAGCGGAGCGTGGAAATAAGACTCTGCAGGAGTGAAATTGTGCTGCCAGTTTGCCTAAAGCGAAACAAGCTTTAATCTGAACAGGGAGTTCTCATTCATAGTCAGGCCGGGACTTATGAAGAAATAAGTGAAACCGTAAAAATATTAAAAACACAAATCCCAGACAGACATTTTGCAGGAGTAAAAAAACAGCTACGATGGTTAGCTTACCATCATGTTCAGTGCCAAGTCTGTCACTGGTCTGGACTCTACTGACAAGCCTGCTAAAGTTTGCTACCCACTACAACAGGTTTGTATTCAAAACAATAGGCTCACTTACAGCACAGTTCTTCTACATCAATCTGAATTCACCAACCACAATAACAGATACACCCAGCACAATGCATGTATAATTCATTTATTCCAACAAAACTAGATAGAACCAAAAAGTTTAGCTACTGGATACAAGATGACACCATTCACTGAAAATGTCACTCTCAGTGTTTGTGTCCTGAAGGTTTAAAGCTTCTACATCACACTTTTTGTGAGTGGTCCAATATGCAAGTTGTGACACTACAAAACCCTGCTCGTATGTGCACGTGATTAACTAACATTCCTCCTTCAGCTGATGAAGTTAAAAACAGCCTTTCTGCTGCACAAACTGTGCAAATTCTTCTTTACTACCTCACCGACAGTAGAAACTGACTCCAGAGCTGTTCCCCGCAGCACCAAACTGCACTTATGGCCAGTGGAACATTGGCAGTGGGGAGGCCGCCTGTCTCAGACGTTTGGCTCTTTGCAGCAGCATGTGTCCCTGTTCACTCCTGTGGGTCCTGGCAGCCAGTGAGGCCTCTACTACTCCTCCCACACTGAGATGAACAAACATTACACAGAATGACACTGGCCAGACACAAAGGGGTTAGAAAAGTGTGTTGGTAACTAAGTGTCAGCTGCTTTAATGTCTGCATTGGTGTGTCAGCGTGTGGGGTCTGACCCTTTGTGAGGCTCACAGATAAATTAAGCTGAATTCCACTGTGGTTTTATTACATTTGACACCAGATACGCTTGGAGGGATTAGTTGTGCTTTAAGCTGCAGGGGTCTTGATTTAGTGCTGGCGTTTACCTGAGACCAGTGGTTCTTGAACACAATCATGCAGGTCTCTGGATCCACCCCTTTTAAGACCAGAGACTGCCCATCTGGGTTTCCATTGGCAACCATGGAGGCCATCACGGTGACCGGATCATGCGTGGGTTAAACCATGTCAGAGGCAGAAGGGGGACATTCCTGACTGCTTACTGGTGCAACCATAACCACAGGAGGAAGCATCATCACAGAGGACCTGAGGATGCAGGGAAAAAAAGCAGATATGATAATCCACAGAGCCACAAAAGGTTGATTCATAAAATAGCAGCACAGATGCACTGATATGACTGGAGATTGTAGTGCTTTTCTCTCCCTCTGCATGGCTAGACAGCAGCTATGACAGGTATGCAGGAGAGAGAACAATAACAGGCAAAGTCAGATGACCAGAGGAGAGGAGAGACGCATCTCGCTCCACTTTGGCTGCCGGCCGCACTCTGTACTTTCAGACTGAGATGTCAAATTGTTTGTGGACTACCTAAGACGCCCAAAGTGGATTCCTGCAGGCCCCCTGACATCACTCTCATTGCAGAAACATTTTTTGACATCGGAAGGCTAACGGCGACTGGGTGTGAACAACTCTGGCTGAATGTAGGGAGTCAGAGAGGGGAAAAGACAACATATTTATGTAAATGAGGTCTGCTTTGGTTGTCTGCATAAAAAAATATATTATTTTAGTTTAAAATAGCCTGAGGGCAGCTTTGCAGACCAGTTCCAACACTCACATTGGCACCATGGAAATTTGGAAGATGCCCACTTTTTACCCCAGAAAGGAACTATTTTATTGCTTCCCTTGGAGAGGACATTCCTGGAAAGATTGACTCTGCTAAATAAGACAGAAGTTTTTTTTGACAACACTTGGAACAGACTGGTTAATGTGAGGATAAAAAAAAATCATCAATATTTCCATTAACACGCCTGCACTTCAAGAGGAAGGATGTTAGGATGTGCCTTTTCTGCCCGTGTTTCCTCTGCTTACAAACAGTGAATGTTTTCATCTGCCATCAATAGAAATTATATCACATGTATATATACAAATCACAGTCATGTTCAACAGATCTTACACACAATCTCTCCAATGAGATGAAGAGTCTCCAGGCTTGCAACTTAGTCGACGAATCGATTTCATCGACAGATCTGTAAAAACGAGTTTCTCCACAAAGAATCACTCAAAAGCCCCACTTTAAATTTTGCGTTTACAAGAGCTGTGCTCATGAGTTTCTTGGAAATAAGTCATTCAGCATGAAAAAAAGCATTAAAAACTACTGAAGAAATCAAGAAAGACCAAAACAATCGATTAGTTGACTAATCGACTAAGAGGGGGCAGCCCTAATGCTAACAGTTGCTAATTATCACGAAACACAAAATACAGCTGAAGCTTATGGGAAAGTGTTGCAGATATTAGGTCAAAAACCAAAGAGTAGGACAAATATCATTTAGATTTGTCCAAAACCTGACGATTGCACGAGAGGGAATGACGTCAGATCAACAAAACCACTGGGATTCATCCCCTGGGCAACATGAATATCTGAACCAAATTCCAAAGCAATACATCCGACATTTCACTCAAAACCACATGGTGGTCATAGTAGGCGTCATCCTCAGATTACCATGAATGTCTTCACAGAACGTCATCTAAACACACCCAACAGATTTTTAATTCTGGATCAAAGTGGTGGCCCCAACGGCTGACCAACACCCCTGGAGCCGAGCGGCTAGCGATGCTATAAAGGACACGGTATGGTGTAAGTCTGTCCGCCTCTGAACACTAACACAACATCGGGACCGAGTTAAACACTCACACAACGCAGGATCATATGGACTCTGTCACCACAGGGGATCAACTGTAAAACATGCAGCAGCTGCATGCCACAATACCGGATCTGAGCCTCTAGCTCCTGCCCCTAAATGTGCCTCTCAACCAATCACAGCTCAACCTCTTCTTTTGAATCCACTTTGCCCCAGTGAGGCAGAAACATCCCCACCAAGTTCAGGCACATAGTCAAACTTTCACCATCTGCTTTCAGTTAGAAGAGAGGGTGGCTGGATTCTTGAGAAGGAATGTGTGTGTGTGTGTGTGTGTGTGTGTGTGTGTGTGTGTGTGGGGTTTCATACCTTTGCTGAACCATCTTTAACAGGGACGCGTCGCTAAGCAGACAAGGAGCTCATTCTTGATCTGTTGTCACAAAAACAAGAGGGATGAAGATATGTCAAAGAGAGGAGCAGGAAGTGAGTAAGCGTGTGAGAGGCCAGGCATGGTGGGAAGTGACTGGACATGAGTAAGTTTCTCCGAAACGCTTCTTGGACGGAGATGGAGAGGGAGGAGGTTTCAAAGGGGGAGGGAGGGGAGAGCAGGAGGGGGGAGGGAGTAAAAAGAGGAAAAAATATGGTGAGAGAAAGTGTAGAGAGGAGGAGGCGCAAGAAAAATGACAGCGACAGTGTTTACGTGCATAGAAAGTTTAGAATGAACCAATGTTTCTGCAGGATTTCAACATCAATATCAAACCCTCATGATCCCTCCGTCGTGGGAGAATAACACCATTGACTCTTCCAATTAGTGTCGCGATGCAATTGGCATCCTTCACTACAGTGAGAGGCCAACTGCCCTCTCCAGCAATTACACCGAGCCATCGTGCGAAATCCTGTCACGTAATGCAGCAGCCGCAAAACTCTCACAATCTAGTTTTAAATCACACGTATATTAAAACATAAAATCAATTCTTTACACTCAGTTTCCAGTCGGCTCAAAACCGGTGGAGTGGGCAGATTCTAAAAGGTCTGGACCCCGCCTATAACAAATGTGGGTTTCTTGGAAAACATGCAATCTTTCATAAAATCGTGACGTCGTGTGAACAGAGAGTGAGAGGGAGACAGATGGAGATGTGTGTGTGTGTGTGTGGGCGAGTGTGTTAAAAAGGAGAGTCATCAAACACTCATTTCGTTTTACAGGCTGGTTTTGTGCCTCTCGATGGGACTCGCACTTACAGTTTTTCTCCAAGCAGCACAGTATAGACACCACCCATGGAGATCTACATTATATTCAATGTAACTCACAGGGACTCACTGTTCTGTTAATTTTAAGTTCGCCGTCTTGTTCAGGACACTTTGACGTGTTAAATCGGTGGAGCTCAGAAACTCCAGCCTTGTGATTAAAGGCTCGGATACAGCAGCATGAAACGTAAATTTAATTCCCTTTTTTTCCTCTTCTGAGCCGACAGAATCATTGCAATATTTCATCTTGTATAACTGAGGAGATGACGGTCCTGTGTAATCAAACCTCCTTCTATGTGTCAGCAGTGAAAGCCTGATAGAGAACAGTTTAACCACCATGCTCCCTTGCTCTTGAGTTTGTCCTGCTGTCATTTTGCTCCTGGCAAAATATTGCCAAATATATCAAAATAATAGCCTCAGAAATTCTTTATTGGTTGGGCTAAAGTCACTATGAGAAGACAGAGATAAACAAACATTATCTTGCTCATCTCTTGTCTTTTCTCATGAGATGCAGAATAGCCTGCAGGATATCCTGATTTGCTGCGGCACTGTGCATCAACCCGCTCGCTGTAGACTGGTCGGATTCACTTTTCTTTAAGCTGCTTTCAGCCGTTCACCGGCCTCACTTTTTGCCTCAGGTTATTGTCAAAAAGAGCTCCTGAAGGTTTGTTTTTGTCTGTTTGCAAGATTAGCTTCATGTAATCAGTGATTAGCTCCTCTCAGACAACAATACTCTGGCAACAACTGACTTCCTTCTCTCAAATATGCTCTAGTTGGTACAGTTTCAATTTCTTGAACTATGGGCCAAATAGGTCAAGCTAATCAATTTTCCACAACTAGGACTAAGTGCCGGCATCTTAAAACACTCCGAAGAATCCAACGAGGGTCTGAAATATGCAACAAAGGCCGAAGATTAAAATATGCTTTTTCAACTAACCCAGTAAAAGGCCCTGCTAATAAAAGTCATGACCTACATCGTGCTCCCATTTACAGTACCTGCTGTCATGTTGTCACGCAGTTACCCAGAAGCCACTGCTCTACTTGCTCAAAATAACCTGACATACCGTAGAGCCGGAAATGGGACGAGCAGAGCACATGCTAAAATATAGGTTGTTAAAAATACATCATTTGTGCATGTGTGTGTGCGTCGGTTCTTGAGATCTGAATGTTGACATGAGAAGGCAGCGTTGCCTGAGTGCATATTTTTCTGTTTACGGTCTCAAACTGCCGGCGTAGCAGTCTCATTGTGACACAAGCCTCCGCCGGATTCTCCTAATTTCCAATTATGGCAATTTGATTCGTCGCTTCCACGTCTCCGCAGTCAGAGACGATCAACAGAGTAGTTGAAACCCCGCCTGGGCTTTCTCTCAGTACAGAGGCAGTTAGCTGCCCCCAAAGACACCACGACTCTATTCGTTTCCAACACGAGAGGACATTTGGACGTCACAGGGTCATCTTTTTGAGAAATACAGAATGTCAGTCTCAGAGTGTTATTCAGCAATTCTTTCCTAAACATATGTTGATGTTTTGGACTTTGGGTCCATTTTCAACCGACAATCGATTGACAACTCAGACTTTTTAAAAATGTAACATGTTGAAGAAACTGGTTGACCCTGTTGTGTTGTACAACACTGTTGCTATGTTATTTAACTGAACAATATGCTTTGGCGCACTAATTATATTCCTCTCTTCTTCTTTTAACTTGTTTTTCACTCATTGATGTCGGGCCGTGATTGAAGGTCTCACAAGCCAAGTATTCAGTCACACCAACAGTTAGAAACTCAGTTCTTTTTACTGCTATTTGTTTGTAAGGTGACGTGTTTTCGAAGTATGAGTCGATGCCTCCATTTATTCCTGCGGGTCTCAGCTAATTGACGCAGACTGAAAAGTCATTTTTTGGCTCATTCTTATTAACAAGAGACTAGATAAGAGCCATGAATGAAATTGTTACAAAATATCCATTTTTGCTGGACCATGTCATGCCTTTCCAACTGTGAATTGTTGCATCGGTTTAAGTCATTATTTATAAATCACTACACAGATACAGCTGGAAACCAAGGCCATGTCCATACTACT